CTACTGTAAATAGATGGATTGACAAAATCCTCATGTTCCACTTTACGTTGCAACATGTAAAAGGGAAGACCTTTGCAGCAGATGGACTTTCTAGAAGAGATTGGCAACCTGGAGATGAAGTGTTTTCAAATTCAGAAGAAAACATGGACGAACCAGTGGGCACTCTAGAAGTATTAGCAGACCCCTACTAAGTCCGTATAATTGCCTACTTAAGCGAGAAACGCCTCGATTTCCTCATAATCTTTGAGCAAGTCAGCAACAGTCTCATACTCAGCATTGACGACTTCAAAGAGTTTGAGCTCTAAGTCCATATGCTGAAGGACAGTAATGACGCGGTTTCGCAAGTCCAGCTCGGTAGTACAATAATAATCCAGCGTGGGTTCGCCAGGCATGGGTTTGTCGAGAACGGTGCGGGTGCGCTGCGTGATAAAGTCCTTGATGGAACTATCAAGTGACAAAGAGTGTCCTATGCACAGAATGATATAAATATGATGTTAGCTTCGTGTTATTTCTATAAAAAAAAGAACTGAAAGGACGTACCGCGACGACGCTGAAGGTCGGGCAAGGTCAGTGGCAGAAGAGGGATCAATCCGAGCCCGCTTGTTGCTGGACGACGCAACCTGACCATTCTCGATAGCGGTCGCCTTGAAGAAAATACGATTTTTAGTGTCCATGCCAGGGACAGACGCGTACGGAATACGCACAGTCTCTGCGCGTTTGAATGGGAACTAACAACGAATTTATGAGCATTTGCGTATTAAAAATCAAAAAGAACGTGTCGCGTGGCTTACCTTGCTTGCGGCACGCTTTTTGCCCTTATCCTTGGTAGCGACCTTCGCTTCGACTTCCCCATTGAAGAGGTTGTCGATTTTCATCTGCGCGAATGACCGAGTAAATGAATTAATAAGACCTATGAAAATTAAGAGATACGCACGGCGTCAGGACCTGAAGCGGCAGTAATGGGACCATCAGACGCACCCATTGTGACGTCGACATCGCCAATAATCTCGATCTCGTCGTCGTCCTTGTCGTCGATGACAGCCTTGGATTTCACGGCTTTACGAGGGCGAGGCTGAGCAAGAGAACGATTAAAAATAGAAAAACGAGATTAAAGAAAAATAACGGACCTTGGGTTTAACATCAGCGAGGGCTGCAGCGATATCAGCGGCGCCACGCTTCTGTGCGTTTCCTGCATCTCGGATGATCTGGACCTTCTTACAGAAGTCCCGACAGACATTGAAGCCTACAGGAGCGGTAACGGACTTGTCCAAGTCATTGAGACTATTGTACTCTTGGCGAACGATGAAGACAGGCTCCGATAAGTTGTGATCAGTGAAAATGGCGGGATCGCCACTGGTGACAAGAGTCCCCTAACAAGAAGCAAGACATACGAATTAAAATGACATTCACGTATATATTATAAGAAGCGTACGCAGAGTCCAGCGATGCTAGAAAGCATGCTGAGCAGAACAAGGGGCTGGAATGTCGGCTTCGAGTTGACATAAGTCTTAAACGCTTCATTGATATTGTCGCGGATGACGAGAGTGGAAGCGAGAGGTACAGGAGGTGACATGTTAGGCTGGGTAAAAGCGTCGTGAATTGTGCTACAATACTCGACGATTTTTCTCGTCTTTTAAGTCGTTCCACTGTTCTACACCCCTGACTAGAGAATGAAGAATTTGACAAAGCGCTCATCAGGAGTTGAGCATCATTTCAGGAGGTATCATGTATGATAATCACATGTGCTATTAATAGAATTGTCGTCGCTTCAGACGCACTCTTCACGCTTGGCGGAACAACTGAGGACAGTTGATTTTGAAAGTAGGGGGGAGGATAGTGATCTATTATAACATATAATGTACCTTGTGAAATCAAGAGATAAACGTTTTGCGATTTTATAATTAAAAGAACGAACTTAGAAATTGGTTGAAAAAGTCTCTAAGTCAGTTTAGGCGACTTCAGTCTTCTTTCACACTAGTAGAAAAACAACAAGATACAAGCTTTTATTAGTCTACCTAACAAAAACTACAAGAAATACAAAGATTATACAATATTAAGAGGTTTTGTGTAAAGAATATCGTATAAAGTCCCAAAAAGATGCATAAGGAATATGAAAGCGCCTCGCTCACCCATCGTTGGCCGGGGCCTCGCTTTCATTGTCTTGATCGTCTTCGTCGTCCTCGTCAGAATCATCGGTAGGAGGACGACCAGGG